TCTTTCTCATGCTTTTCATAGTGTTCCAGTGTAGGTTGCACTACGCTTCTCTCTTTCATCTGTTTCGGGGATGATAACGCGTGCAGCTTGCTTTCTTCAATGGGACTTTTTACACCAATAGAATCCACCACAGGAGTGGGCAAAGTATTTTCCTTTTCCTTTGACAGCGAATATAAAACACCAGCACCGTCATCAACTTGATTCCCATTTTTATCTCCACCTTTTTTACGCACCTCATCTTCTTTTCCCTCTAGGACATCGTCATCCCACCATGGAAACTCCCTGTATTGAAAATTAAACTTTTTTGGCACATAGCCGGTTGCCTTCCACAGCTGTGGACCAAAAATTGATGACATTTGTGCCCCTGAGAACAACCCAGGATCACCACCCGGCACCCCTTGCACATGCACCCTCTCCTCCATGGGGATATCAGTCCACAACCTAAACGGCCTTTGTGAGGAAACACTCGCCGGATTGTCCATCCTGAGCGTTTTGGTAGGCAGTTCAACTAAAAACTGTGCGACCTCTGTCTCCTCGCTCTCATTCCTCACACTAGCACTGTTCTTGGTCTTACACTTATCGCAAGCAAAGGATTTATCGCTCTTGACGTAACGTGAACAGCGCGTGTGCACCCATACCCCGCACTCATCGCAATCTACCATCTCCTGACCGTCATCAAAATTAACTCCGCAGACGCAGTCGACCGTCCATGAGCCATCCACCCAATCGTCGTGTGGGTCCGAGGTGGGAAGCCGATGAGACCCGCTCTTCATTTCTTACAAAAATCCCTAACCCTAACTCTAATTTCAATCAAACCCTAATTTCCACATCCCAGGTACAATTCTATATGCCACGCAAAGACATTGAAATTCTTCCAGATAATTATCTTTTTCATACAAAGAGAAAATTGAATTAGAGAAAACGTACCTTAGCAAAAATTGTTGAACTGGGCAAATTTGTGTATCTGTTTAGTGAATATCCGTGGGATATAATGGTTTGCTTGAGAGAAAAAATCGCGGACGGAACCCAAAGAGGAAGCGTTAAATGAGAATAGGATGAAGGAGTGGCGTCGGTCACACGTTTTGATGTGGGTTACGGTAGCTTTAGCGCTGCTCCAAAATATCGTGATTCGCGACGCGTTTGTGACTTTCGGAGCATCCGACGCTAGCAAGGAGTAGAATAGGCTGAATTGGTGAAAATTAAAATTTAGA